CAACCCCCACCAACGATCGTTCACTGGGTCATCACAATCGTAAGTGCCCCAAAGGTCGAATTAACCCCAACGAAACGAAGTAAACCCCCAAAACCAATGGAATCACTCACAATTTCCCTGGTGCGTCGGCGATATCCAGGTCCCAAAGTCTCCAGCAGCCGTTGTTCGTCAACTCTATTCGAGGAAAAAAAACAGGTGTCCGAGGAAATTGCTATCGAGGCACGAGACTCGTCGTATTATTACTGACGTGAACCGAACAACACACTAATGCCTTTTGCGTCGATCTCTGGTCATACTTGTGATGAGGGAGGGGGGGGGGGCGCACACGACCCACGGGAGCAGTTGAACGCAGGATTACGTGGCCAAAGTTCATTGACTATCGTCAGAGATTTTCCAGGGCTTTCTGAGGGGTTTCACAGGATTTTTCGGGGATTGTTGACCGCGGCGGTGGGCTCCGATTTTTTGTGGTTTTCATGAGGGGTAGGAGGATTTATTTGGTAGCTTTTGGGCTGTTGATATTCATTTGGGAGAACTGACTTTGTGGCGGATGGTGAGAGTGATCAACTGATGGTGAAGCAGGGGTTTTGGCTAAGTCTGGCCACGACCGTCCGACGGTCCGGCAGTGGGCTAACCACCCCGTAGGGCAATTACATAATTGTAATTATGATATATAAAAAAAGCGCTTTTATATTTTCCCTCTCCATCTTCATTTTTACAACATCCGATGAATTTATTGGAAACACCGCCAGAGATAGAAGAAAACGTTCAGCATGAAAAGATGCACATTTTAATGCAATACATGCATCTTATTTCCTCAACCTGAGATTGGTGTCAAAAGATTGTTAATTCCAAAATTGAAAAATTATTTTATTTGTTTATTCTTCCCACAAAGTAAACAAATTTCCATCAACAACAAATAACGAATCATAACCCCACAAAATTTTTAAAAAACTCGTAATTTAGTCCGGCAAACTTAAAGCGTCGAGGAGGTGAAACTATCGACCAAACAATGGCCCAAGCGAACAGTCTAGTCTCCCGAAGAATGTCGAGTCGACGTCCCTCCAAACCTAAGCCCCAGAAGCCCCCGATATCTGTGGTCCAGCAACGGAAGCACCTAAAAGTCTTCGAAAATGGCCTAGACGTCACCCCAAAACTCCTGACCCACCGATTTTACCCGACGATCGAGGAGAATCGGCTGACGGCCTACGACACCATCGACATGCTGAAGACCGGTAGTGAGTCCATGATGTCCTTGAGCTCTGCCGTACTTCGGTCTAGTATATCGGGGCTTGCATCGGTAATTGAGTAAAGAAAATGTATTTAAAAATTAGTTTTTTAATTTTTTAAATTCACATCAATTTTTTTCATATTTTCATTACCAAAAAAAAAAAGATAAAGGGTCAAGGGTCTTGAGGGTCAAACGGTAAGACATTGTTCACCCTTGAAACCTTACAGTCTCTTCGCTCGTCTCTTGCGTTCTATCCTTTTAACCCCCTCCCCGTCTCGCTCATTTGCCCATTAAAATCGCTTGACCTATGCCACTTGTTTCTCTCGTTTGACCCTGTTTACCCTTCTACCTGTCTCTTCTATTCAATCCTTAACAACCTTCCGATCATTTAGCTCGTCTTTCCCATTTGACCCTTCTGACACCTCTTCACCTTTTAGCCCTTTAACCCTTTTGACCCCTCCACTGGTCCCTTCCGTTTGACCCTCGTGACTCCTCCACCTGTTTCTCCCACTTGACCCTGAAAAACGTTTCACCCACTTCGCTTGCCCCTTCCATTTAACCCTCATCACCCGTCCGCCCTGCTCTCCCATTTGACCCTCAAGAACAAAATCCCTTACTGTTGAGACCCTCATTGTCCCATTCTCCCTTCAAATCCATCCTTATTCTGATTTGCAAGACATCTTCTCCGTCATGTTTTTAAAAATTACGCTAATTTTTTGGTATTTACCAAAAATCCCTCAGAAATCATCCCCAATGCACACAACAGTTATTCCCCCCCTGGACGAGACAATGGAAAGTCTGATAGCAACCCAGGAAATTGCGTCACTTGCGGACGAGTCTCGCGCGCCGTCGCCATTTTGTCTCCCAAAATTCGAAGAAGCATCGACTAAATTCCTGGATACGGTGACAATCCTCCTAAAAGAGACAGAAACAATGATCATCTTTGAGATGCCGCAGTTGACCGCAGACCTGGACACCCCCGAGGGTCAGCAGGTGAAGGAAGAGAATGAGAGATACGAGATGATTACAGCGGAGGGCGGGCCGAAGAGGAAGCTGGCGGATGCCGAGACCCAGACGCGGAGGATTCACCTTAAATCCAGATCGACACATCTCGGGAGGAAGAGGAGAATGAACCAGGGGACTTTTGTCAATAACTGGGTCATTCATGACACCTATGTTGAGTTGGAGGGAGCTGTGAGAGTGGAAGAGACGCCGGTGAGAAAGAGCCACACACGTCATGACATTATTTTCCCAAAAAATGAGTCGTTCTACGAGGAAATGTCCGAATGTCCTTTTCTATAGAGTGGGGAATTCTCTATCAAAAATGTTTTTAGACATTTCCTCGTAAACCCAATTGTTTTCTAGATATTTCACATCGGGTCCGGACGAAATTTCTGGACTTGACTCGACAGCAAAGTCTGCAAATTCCCAACATTAATTTCAATTCCAAGCGTCTCTTCTCAAAATGAAATCATCAAACATCGGTGATAATATACCCAAACCTTGCAGGACAGGAATAAGCTTCCGAAGCTCTCGCTGACCCCTACGACCCCCAGCCCCGAGGACCAACTAGCCGAAATCAGCAAGAAATCTTCCTTCAAAGACGCGCTTCAAATAATGGAGAGGATAATCGCAAGCAATCTCTTCATAATTCCTCAGAAGCGGTTCAAGGGTCTCTTAAAGAGTGACCCTTGCAGCCCAGACCTGAAGTTCACGTACTGCCTGGACCTCCTCTGGGTGCACTCTTGTTCGGAAACGACCAATCGTTCAGTGACTGCCTTCAGATGGAACTACACCAACTCCAACATTCTGGCGGTTGGCTACGGCTCAAGGAAGTCTACCTGCGATGGGGTCCTGCTTATCTGGTGCATGAAGAACCCGAGTCAACCGGATAGAATTTACCGGTTCGAATCAGCGATCTCCGATCTCGATTGGAGTCGATCGAAGCCGAATCAGTTGGCTGTGGGCTTCTACGACGGGCGCCTCCGGGTCATTGATGTGAGCAGTAGAACTTTGGCTGTTTTGAGGGACAGCAAGACGTGAGTATCAAATAGGAGGAGAGGTCAAGAGGTTCAAATGGAGAGACGAGTAAAGTGATCATTCCTAAGTTTGTTTCTGAGCACTTGACCCTAAATATCTCGGAATCTGAGGGAGCTAGCGAAATTTCCATTAAGATCTTGTTAGAGATTGAGGCTAATGTTAGGGCGGATTGGGGGGGAGTGTTATGGAAAGGTGAAATTTAAAAGACACGTGGATTACAAAAAACCCTGGTGATGTACTTTATTAGCCCTCCTGTAGTCGCACGTCTTCTGCGAACGTCGTTGATCGCCTGGTAAGCCCTGCGCCGTCCGTTACATTCTCGAGCGCAGCGTTGCCAGAGTCATACATACACTATAAACATATCAAACATCACCGGCCAGCGACCAGATCCGATCAATTAGCCCCTCATGTATAGATATTCCAAATTTTCATTTTTTTCCTCATTGAAGTAGTTTTGAACAAAATTGCGAGCTAATAAAAAACATTTGCTAGTTAGTACTTTTTTTTGAATAAATTTTTGAAAAATCACCTCTGAAAAAAAAGGCGTTATCCTCTCTATTTCATTATTTCCAAAAAATTTTATGACCAATCGATAGCAAATTGTTTGAAAATTTTTGCGAGTTAAGAAAAAATCGTCAATGCAATCCTATTATTGTGTAAATTAACAATTCCAATTTCAACTGAAAACCAGAGTTGATAACCAGAGTTTGTAGCAGAGATGTCAGACAAGATATGAATGTTTTTTTTGGCTCAAATGAAAGAGCG